TTTTGTAAGTGGAATCACATGGTATTTGTCATCTTTTCACTGGATTATTTCACATAGCAGCATATCCTCAAGGTTCAGATTCATGGTGTAGTATATGTCAGAATTTCCTTCTTTTTTAAGGAGAAATAATATTTTGCTGTAGGTCTGCACTGCCTTTTGCTGACCCATTCACTTGGGTTGGTTCCACCTTTTAGCTGTTGTGAATAATGCCACTCTAAATATGGGTATGCAAATAACTTTTAGTTTCTATTCTTTCAGTTTTTTGGTGTATATTCCCAGACGTAGAATTACTGGACTATATGGAAATTGTGTTTTTAATTTTTTAAGGAATTATCCTACTATTTTCCTTAGCAGTTATACCATTTTATATTCCCATTAACTGCACAAAGTTTCTTATTTCTTTACTTTTCACCCATACTTGCTGTTTTCTGTTTTTTTAATCTTTTAAATTTTTTTAACCTTCAGAAAATGTTAGTAACCATTCCAGTGAGTGTGAGGTAATATCGGACTTTAGTTTTGATTTGCATCTCCCTAGTGATTAGTGAAGTTGAGATCTTTTTGTGTGCTTATCTTCTTTAGAGAAATGTCTATTCAAGTTCTGTTATCATTTTTGAATTGGATAGTTTGCTTTTTGTTGTTATTGAGTTCCAGTAGTTTTCAATATATTTTGGATATTAATTTCTAGGTATTAGTTTCAGATATAAGATTTGCAAATATTTTACCCATCGTGGCTTTTTTCTTTTTTGATAATGAAATTGAATTTATTTTTTCTTTTGTTGATGATAGTTTTCATGTCTTATCTGAGAATTTACTGCCAAATCCAATATTGTAAAGCTTTTTTCCTTATGTTTTTATTTATGAATTTTATTTTTTTTGGTTTATACACTCTTTGATTCATTTTGTGTTAATTTTTGTAAATAGTATGTTGCTTTGTATGTGGCCATCCAGTTTTCTCACTACTATTTTTTGAGGATTGTCTTTTCCCCATTAAATAGTGTCAGTCTCCTTTTGATCAATTCAAAAATCACTTGACCACCACATAATAAGGATTTAGTTCTGAGCTCTCTGCTCTCTTTATCAGTCTATGTGTCTATCTTTATGACAGTGCTACACTGTTTGGATCCTTGTAACTTTGCAGTAAGTTTTCAAATTAACACGTATGAATGCTCTTTTTTTTAAAAGACAATTTTAGCTATTTGGGAGTTTTTAAAGTTGTATATGAATTAATTATTTACATTTCTCTTTGACTTCTATAATTTCCATAATTTGAGAAGTGTTACCATTTGGATCAAAAAATGTTCTCCAAAAAACTCATACATACAGAGGTGGATCTTTGGAAGGCAATTAGATCATCAAGGCTCTAACTTCATAATGGATTGATTCATTGATGAGTTTATAGTTGAATGTGCTGTTAGGACGTGGCCTGGTTGGAAGGAAGTAGGTTACTGGGAGTGCAGCCTTGTAGGGTATATTCTTGTCCCGAGTCCCTTCTCTGGCTCATTCCCTTTTTCTTTTCTTCCTGGCTGCCATGAGTTAAGCAGCTTTCCTCTGCCCTGCCTTCCAGTTTTGGCGCCATCTAGCGATAGACCACAACCTCTGAAACCATGGGATAAAAGTACACATTTCCTCCTTGAAGCTATTTATATTAAATATTTTAGTCACGGTGATGGAAAACTGATTAATGTAATAGGGATTACATTGAATGTGTAGATCATTTTTTTTCTAATTCACTTTTCTTTTGCAATTTTTATTCTATTCACTAGAGTTTATCCTAGTTTCTTGATCTCTATCCTGCACTAGAACCACAAGTCAGGTTCAGTAGCTGGTTTTGGTGGTATTGGGTATTGAACCTAGGGGTGCTGAACCACTGAGTAGTAGTCCAAACTCTCTTTATTTTGAGACAGGTTATAGTTTATATGTTCAGGTTGACTTCAAATTTACAATCCTCTTGCCTCAGCCTCTCAAATAACTGGGATTACAGATATATACCATTATGCTTGGCCAATTTTTGTCATTCTTCAGGGTTACCAGATATTGTAATGGGCAGATCATTGTGTTTCCCAGTGAATACATACTGACTGTTGAGGGATTCTCTTCTGTATGAATAGTTTCCATTGCTATCACAAATACTTGTCAAAATTAACTAATAAAGCAAAGGAGTTTATTTTGGCTCATAGATTTGAGGTTCTAGTCCAAGATCAGGCAGTCAGCCTTTTCGCTTTTGGGCTTGCCATGAGACAGCCCATCATGATGGGTGTGTATGGTAGGACAGAATCACTCATTTCATGGCCAGGGGACAAAAGAGACAGGAAAAGAGAGAGAGATATAGGTCCCTCAGACCCCTTTAAGGGCACATCTCCAGTAACCTGCAGACCTCCCACCAGGCCCACCTCTTAGAGACTTCATTACTCTTCAGAAAACACTCTCCTAAGGCTCAGTTCTTTTATGGATTGTTGTGGGACATTTAAGATCCAAAGTATATTATTTTCCCTGGTCCCTTCAAAAGGCCCATACTTCCTTTTTCCCTCCACACAGATGCTAATAACCCCACAAGTCTTATGACTGTTATTGGTTTGTCTTTATCTGGCTTATTTTGGGCTTTGTGGGGATAGCTTGTCACCTTGTTTTATAGCAAATATTTATCTGTATGTTTTTGTTGTTGCTATGTAGTTTTATTGTATTTACTTTTATCAGGGGATTATTTGGGAAAACTTATAGCTCTATTATCTGGGGTATTTTTCTGTTTTGTGGTTTTGCTTCTTTCATATTAGAAGATACTTCAAATTGTTGGTGATATGTTCATATTTAAGAATGGAGAATAAAAATGCTTTTGGAAATTATGTGCCAAAGGTGCCTGCCACTAGAAATTGCTAAGTTTTAAGGATTCTTCCTGGGTGGGGGTTATCAATGTGAACTTTAATGCAGAGTGACTTCTCTATGCCATTTTATTGGAAAATTAGTATGTCAGCATCCTTTTATTTTTTCTCTTGGGCTGGTGAGATTCAGTTATTTATATCTTACTCAGAAATTTATATCCTCATTTATATCTTGCTCCCAGAGGCCACAATAAGCTTGACAGTCTTCAGTTTTAAAGGACAAAGCTATAGTAAAATCTGACTATCTAGTCCTGACTTTTCTGACTATGTGGTTTTATAACCTGTGCCTACTCTTCATTCTGGTAACTTCTTTTTTCTCTTTATTCTTTGGAGAATAAATTTCTAGTTACTTCCCTTGACATGGAGAAAGGCAGTTTTCTGACAGTGTAAGTTGAGGAAGAAACTGGGGGTTTGTAATGGATTATAGTCTCACCTAAAGCAACATTATTATTGTTATTTCCATACATAACTAGCACCTCATATTAATAAGCCTGTAGGATTACTCAGTATAAAATGGGTTGCTTCTAAGCTTCCCTTTTTATGGGCTTAATAGTTTCTCTTTTGTTATCTCAGTTATCATTTTTCAAATTGTTTCATTCTGATTTTGTTGTTGTAAGTTGGTGTGTATATATTTAATTTGTGTATGTATTTAGTCTTTTTTATTACTACATTAGAGAAAATTCAGAAGGTACTACTAATTAACATGTACATTTAACCTACTCTCTTTGTAAGCATACATTAATAAATTTTCAAGGTTTTGGTATGGAAACTTAATACATTTATAGAAAGTTGCTCAAAATCTAAATATGTCTTTAGTTTGTACCAGTGAAATACCAATGTGGATACTTGTGCAACCACAATTTACCTTAAAAAATAGAACTTTGCTAGAACTCCAGAAAACTACCCTTTCACTGCCTCCCAGTCTATTTCCTCTCTGTTCCACAAAAGAATTTCCATTTGAATGACTTATTTTGTAGTTTATTTTGCCTACTTTTAAAAAGTAAGTGAAATCATACAGTGTACACTGTTTTTGTTTTGGTTTTGGTTTTACACAGCATTTGGTTGAAAATTCATCTGCTGCAACTGTAATTCATTCATCTTTATACTGTGTAGTATTTCATAACTATTCTTGATTTTATTGTATTACTTATGGGCACTGAGGGATGATTAAGTTATTTCTACTTTTTTGCTGTTATGGATAATGTTGCTGTGAATATTCAGTGCTTGTGAGCATGCACTCGTATTTGGGGTATACATAGAAGTGGAACTGCTGCTGGGTTTTAGAATTAACATGAGTAGATAATGTCAATTTTCCAGTGTTGCTGTCTTAATATATAGTCTTAGTAATGAAAGTTCCTATTCTCCATATTCTTGTCAACATCTGGCATTGTTAGAATTTAAAATTTTACTCACTATGAGAGTGAATAACTAGTTATTTATTTTATACTTCCTTAAGGACAAATGAGGCTTTGTTGTTGTTGTTGTTTTAGGTGAGTGTCAATCATTTCCCCATTTTTCTATTGGACTGTTTGCTTCTTTCTTACTAATTTATAGGAATTCTCTATATTTTTAGTTAGGGGTTTTTTGCAGTTGTGTTTTGCAAGTATCTTCCCACTATACGGTTTGCATTTTTAATCCATTAGTTGTTCTTGTGTTTTTGATGAACATTGTATTTAACATAGTCTGACTTAATAATGTAGTTTCATTATTAATCTTTCACTTGTGTTTATAGCTCTTTTAATCATGCTGATGAAATCATTCTCTAATCCAAATTATGGACATCTGCATCTATTGAGATAATCATATGATTTTTGTGTTTCGCTCTGTGGATATGGTGTAGTACATTTATTGATTTACATATATTGAACCATCCTTGGATTCCTGGGATGAATAAAATATTTCACATGTTACATGTTAAAAGTATAAGTACTTTTGTAATAGTAAACCTAACTATACTTACCTCTCTGATTAGTAGACATAATTTATATTTATGAAATTGACATATCTATAAGATGTAAGTATACATACTTTTAAATTATTGATTACTTTGGCTTTTAGATTAGCTTATTTTTGTTTATTATAAATTTATTTACTAAAGAAACTTTTTTTTCTTTAAACTCTTAGGTGATACAGCAATGTTTGAGTTGATACAACTAGTTCCACCAGGTACTGTATTAAAAACTGGTAAAGTGATTGACATGGGAACTCATTTCAGTGAACTGTTTTCCTAAAGTCTCATCTTTTCTCCCTCTCTCTAATTTAAGAATGGTGTTATTTTTTTATACCATTGGTTTATTATCTATAAAGTCACAGTAGATCAAAACAATATGTATGGAACATGACATAATGGTGCTTGATATATTGTAGTGGAAAATAACATGTTATCATTTGATGATAGGTTGTGAGTTAAAAACTGATTTTTAACTTTTTGAGATTTTTCTAAAGCTATATATTTTTATTGATACAGTAATTATCTGTTTTTAAGTATTGACTATTATTAATAATGGAGATTAGAACCTTACTTTTACACTAAATGTTACAAATCCCTACAACATATACACTGTTAAAATGTAGAGTCTAGTTTTTTTATATTGATTTCTGTGGTTACAGAAGAAATTTATTTTAAATCTTTATTTTATGTAAAATAACACCATATTTTATTAAATGCTGCTATGAATATTTTTTTTTTGAGACAGAGTCTTCCTATGCAGTTCAGGTTGGCCTTCAACTCACTGTGTAGCCCAGGCTGGCCTCAAACTCATGGCAATACTACTACCTCAGCCTCCTAAGTGCTAGGGTTACAGGTGTGTGCCACCACACCTGGTTTGAAATGTTTAAATATTACATGTATACCTAATTCAGGTAGTTACAAATTTTATAAGTACATTAATTATTTTTAACACACACTTATATCTTATAATAGCAAATAAAAAAATGGGAGCAAGAACAAATTGCAGAAATATAACTAAAATTTAGATGGGTAAATGTCATACCAGTATTACACATTTAAATGGACACTTTTTTTGAACTCATACTTACTCTTTTTTTTTTTTTTTTTTTTTTTTTGGTTTTTCTCTGGTACCGAGAACCGAACTCACGACCTTGCGCTTGCCAGGCAGGCACTTTGCCGCTGAGCTAAATCCCCAGCCCCCATACTTACTCATTTGTTACATGATTATTCTCATTCTCTAAAAGGTCAGGGTGGGCAGGGAAGAACAAGGAATTGCTAATACATAATATATTTCTGAAAATATATATATATTTCTGAAAAATATAAAGTATATTTCTGAAATATGTTGATATATTTAATGTACATTTATTTCAATACTCCTTATGTAGAAGATAGACATGGTCCTAAGCAGGTATTCAATCAGGCATCAGGCAGCACATATATTATACTTGCTGATTTTTTTCTAAGTAGACTGTTTTGTTATAATTTGAATCACAGGGTATCTTTCTTGTAGTGGGTGAAACACTGTCTACATATGAGGAAAATACACGAGATTTCATGTTCCCGGGTCCAAATCAAATTTCTGGACACCATGACTCAAACCGCCAGGTTACCATGAGGAGGATTTCTGGCCTACGAGTAAGTATTTACTATTTTCTAAATTGATTTTTGATGCAGGATCATTATCAAGACCCACCACATAGTCTTCAACTTCTTAAATGTGAAGAACTAATTCAAAGTATAATTTCATTTAAAACTTGCTTTAAAATTGTATAATTGTAAGCATCCTGAAATTTAATGAAAATAGTTTATCAAAATTCATGCACATATCATCTAAAATTAACATGTGTTTTAGTGCCTTTTAGTCTTCAGATCTCTCTTCTCCTTCTCTCCCCCCCACCCCATTGCTGAGCCATCTGTCTTTGTCTAGTACTCCTTTTAAGGAATGACCAGAACACACTTGAAAATACTCTGTCTAATTAGCATTTACATTAATTAGTATTTACAAATTGTAATTAGCATTTACAAATCTACATTAAAACAACCATATGATTTTATTTTTATAGCTGTAGATTGGCAAAATTTAATAAATCTGACAACATCAAACGTAAAAATTGGTACATACTGTTGTATGCTTTTTTTGTGTATTGAAACAAATCAGAGTTCAGAATTATTTGTTAATAATAATTGTTAATAAAGCTTCTTATAAATGTGATCCTATAGGTTTTTATCTTAAATATATTCTCATTAGCATACTAAGAGCCTTTAGAATGTTCCTCTCTACCATTGTTCATGTAGCAAAAAACTGAAATAATTGAAATGTCTTTTACTAAGAGTTTGGTAAGATTAAAATGTTTAAGGACTAGAAGTATATATTCTTACACCTAAATTTAAAGACTACATTAAGTAACAGCTTATCCTCCTGTGGTCTCCTACAACTTTTTCCAAGTTCTGTTAGATGATTTTGAAATATTTTTATTCTTAAAAGTAAGTCATCCAGAAGGGGAATAGCTAGATTGAATGGAACCTCTAGTCCTAGTTTACTGAGGAATCTCCAAACTGATTTCCACAGTGGTTTCACCAGTCTGCATTCCCACCAGCAGTGGAGAAGGGTTCCTATTTCTCCACAGCCTCGCCAGCATTTGTTATTGGTTGAGTTCTTCATGGTAGCCATTCTTACGGGAGTGAGATAGAATCTCAGTGTTGTTTTAATTTGCATTTCACTAATGACTAATGATGTTGTACACTTTCTCATGTATTTATTTGCAATTTTTATTTCTTTATCTAAGAAGTGTGTGTTCATCTCAGATGCCCATTTTTTTTTGTTTGTTTTGTTTTGTTTTTGTTTTTGTTTTTGTTTTTTTTTCCAGTACCAGGAATCAAACTCACGACCTCGTGCTTGCCAGGCAAGCGCTGTGCCGCTGAGCTAAATCCCCAGCCCCTCAGATGCCCATTTTTGGATTGGGTCTTTGAATTTTGAGAGGCTGAAAGGAACAGTTAATGTTTAAGTGTAGGATCAATCTTACATGTCTATATTTGTTTATCTGAATATCCAAATTGAAGATATCAATATGTAATACAACAACCATTGTTACTTTCCTATCACCCTGTCTGAGATTCTGTATTGCTTGTATTGTTTTTATGTTATATTTTAAATGTATGTGTGTTTGTTAAGATGTTTTCATTCTTTTATCCTTAAAATAAAAATAAGGATTTTTATTTTACTTCTTCTACTTAGGGAAACATGCAGAAACCTCTGCTATGCAAAGGAGGAAATTTAAAAGTTGTTTAGTTAGAAATTATTTGGACAAGTTTTTTAAGCTAATTTTCTAAAATCCTAGAGTAGTCTGAGTAAGAAGAGTATGGTGATGTATAAGTCCATGTAGTGAACTAAGCAATTTTCCCATAGCTCTATGTAAAATCTATGATATGCTCTATTCAAAGAAATAGCAACTTTACCTTAATGAAAATGTAAAAGTTGACTAGCAAGTCTATGAATGTATTCATCCTTAGGGAAATTAGTCAGCTTCTGCAGTATAAAGGCCTTAAAGAATATTCCAAGAACCGTGTTGAAACCCACAGTGAAGAAATAATCATATTTTAAATTTATGGTCTCTTAATAGTAATTTAAAATCCAACATTATACCAAGATGGCAATATAAACTCAAATGATTGGAACATTAATAGGGATTCATCTTTCATAACTTTATTTGAATTACTATTACATATATTTGGAAGATGTAATGCTCAGGAAAAAATAAAAAATTAGGACTTCCAGTAATGACAGTGTGAATATTTTGAAAGTTCTTTCCTGCATACAAAACAAGATTAAAACTGGGTAAAATTGATGCTGCCAACTTAAGAGCACTGAAAATTTGTCTGACAAGTAGGATAAAACAAACTGAGGAATAACAGACTATAGCAGAAATTTTACCTGAGGTTTAACTCTGTCAGCCTGTTCTACAAATTTCATATTCTAGATTGCACTTCAACTTTTCCCAGACTTTCCCACTTGCCCCCGCCCTATAAATTTTCTACTTGCCATCTCCCATAATTGTGGGAGGCAATTTCTTAAGTTAAATTTCTTTGTATATATAATTCTATCGATTCTCTTTTTCTGGAGAACCTGTAAAAATTCAGCTGGACTTTGAAAAGTCAATAAAAGTAATGACTATTTAGTACTTACTCTGTGACCAGCAATATATAGGGAAAGTGAAAGTGTTAAGTGTAAGTTTAAGCCATGACAGTAAAATAAAATGCAGTCATGCAGTCCATAACACTGTTCAGTTAATGAAGGACTGCATATACAGTGGTTACTATACCGTAGAACTAGATGTGTAGTATGCCATATTATCCAGCTTTGTGTTAGTACCCTCTGACATTCACACATGACAAAATCGCCTATTTCTAAGAGGTTATCACCATCATTAAGTGGTACATGACTGAAGAAATTTTTTGCTATTCTTCTCCATTCGGAGAATACTCCAGTCACTGTATCTAATGACTTAACATATATAATGTGGCACAGTGATAGTATTAGCTTCTGAGACCAGGTCATTATAAGCTTTGCAACGTTCTTCACTCTTAGGTCACTCATATGGAAGAAAACTGTTCTGTGTGAGGACGCTGAAACAGTTCTATGGAGGGGCCAAAAGCTAGAAGGACTTTGTGATCCTTACTTACTATGTGATCAGCAATATATGGGAAGGGTTACAGTGTTGGGTGGAAATCCAGGCAGTGATGTAATGAAATACTTTGTGAGAATGTTTATGAAAGCTTGAATATCTTCACAGAAGCTATCAGATAAGGATTTGCAGGACAGTGGGGTAAATTGTATTGAAAACTAAAAATGGAGTCCTTGTTACGTAAGGACAGAAAGTTTAGCAACACAGTCACCTGCAATAAAATGGAATATAGGAAAGCTAGCCAGCGAAACAGACCATCCAGATGGGCTTTCTAATGTTAGAGGGGTGGCCTCTAACCAGCTATTCGTTGCCGCTTATGGCTCAATATGGGAGGGTAGAAAGAAGTGAAAGGAAGGGTTGTTAAAAAGAAATTGGAACTTACTGTTCTGATGATTTTCCACCTTTCTCACTGATGCACAATGCTCACAGTAGGAAATGACCCTTGATTAGAAATTATTCCAGGCCACTTCCAGAAAATTATCTGATAGTGAAGCTGAAAGTACTACTGTAAATCTTTCATTAGAAGCTTGGAGAGATCGAACGTGTTGCCTTACAAAACCACTTAATCAAACATGGGTTTTGTACAGTAAATAAGGGCAGTGTTTGCCAGCAATCTCAGAAGAAGCCCAATACACAGAACTGTGTGGCTATAATAGAGCAAATTCCAATAAAAATCACATGGCAGCCAAAAAGGAATTTAAGAGCATTACTCTATATTCAGAGAAGCACCATCAATTTGATCGGACATGGTGAGAGACTTTGCAAAATGAAAAATCTGAACCTAAGCTCAGAACCCTACACTGCTCCAAACAGTCTACTTTCTGTTTCAAAGGAATTATGGTTCAGAAGATGGAAGAAGAGTCTAAAATGTTGAACCAAGAACCATGAGTATTTCTGAGCAATAATAAGAGTAAACCCTGATCAAGGAACTTCCAGCATTTCTGTAGCTGAACTTGAAGATTCTTATGGACCAGTGATTTCCTTTTTACTCCCCCCCTTTTAACAATATCATGATTGTCCTATGCTTGCTGCATATATGCACACTGGATATTCGTGGTGTAGATAACTTGTCTCTTTAGTTCATGAGTCCTGTGATTATGAAGAACTGTATTCTAGATGCTCTACTAGCAGATGTACAGCAGAAGAACTTTATGTGACACACTGTGGATTTCAAGCTGATACTGTAAAAGGATGAGAATCCTTGTTCCTCCCCTTTCTCCCCTCCTCTCCCCTCCTCTATTTCTAAGCCATGAATGTACTCTACTTGTAGGAAAAATATAAGTAATTTATTGTCAGAAAGAAAACCTGCGCTCAATTTTTTAATACTTCTCTATTGAAGAGGTAGACCGCTTCTCTGCCCTTGAGTATGATTGTATTTAGTGACACTATTAAGCAGAATGGGATGGAAGTGACAGTGTTTGGAGACATCGTTATGGTTTTCTTCTAGCTTTGCTTTGTATCACTCACCTTAGAGACACAAGTCACCATGCCTTGAGGACACTCAGCAGCTGTTATGGTATAGATCTAACATGCCCCAAAAGTCTGTGTTCACAGGTGGAGTTTTTGAATCATGAGAGTCCACTAATGGGTTCATAGCTGAAAGTGCTGTGAGAAGTTGGAGGTGGGTCACTGGGGCATGGCCTTAAAGGGTGCATTTTTGCACCCAGTTCCTCTCTTGCCCTTCTGCCTCATGGGTGCCAGCTTTCCTCTGCCGTACCCTTCCACCATGCCACTTCTTCCTTCATGCCAGCTGCCCCTGGACTGAACTTCCCCCAACCGTGCACCAAATTAAACCTGTCCCTTAAGTTGTGGGTGTCAGATATTTTGTCCTAATGATAGGAAAGCTAATATAGCAGGCCCCCTGAGAGGGTTTATGTGATGAGGATGTAAGTCTTCTTGGTGAAAACTAGAAGGGAACTGAAACTTCCACTGAACAGTCGTGTGAATAAGCCATCTTGGGGAGCAGATTGCCAAGCCCCAGTGAAGCCTTCAGCTGACTGCAGCCCAGATGATGTCTGGATTGCAGTCATGAGAAATTTGAGGCCAGAAATACCCAGTTTAATTTCTGCCAGACTCCTGGCCCCTAGGATCTATGTGGGATATTAAGTGTTCACTGATGTTATAAGCTGCCAAGTTTTGCAATAGTATGTTTTGTAGTATTAGACAACTAATGAGCAGGAATACTAGTAGATACCATTAAAAAAAGACATGTCTGCAGAAAAACAATACTTATATTAATTCTGAGGCAACTCAGATACACCTTTTCTGTAATAGGTGTGATTTTAAAACTTTACATTCAGTTGGACACAAGCTGCGTTCGTTGAGGCCAAAAGTAGAGGCCTCGGTCAGTCTGATAACCACTCTGTTACAGTGAAATGGCTGTGGGCACAGATATATTCTTTAATGTTTTGATGTTTGCTTAATATATGTGCTTTGAAATATTTTCTCAGGTACTTTTTAATGACTGTTCCTTTGAACTGGTTCCAGTTGTCTCAAAACAGTATTCAAACTGATGATTACAATACTGCTAAAACTAGAAACTAGAAAAAGAAATAGAAGTCATATTCCTTCCTAGATCTGAATGTATGCTATGTGACAGGAAAAAATGCTAGGTGAATTGGCGGATAGTTTCAGAAACTGCAAACATGAGCCAGCTGTGGTAGTGCATAGCTGCAGTCCCAAAACTATGGGTAGCTAAGGCAGGAAGCAACGTAGAGAGACCATGTCACAGAAAAAGGGGAGAAGGGCTGGGGTGAAGCCCTGAGTTCAATCTTTAGTACAAAAAAACACAAAACTGTATATCCGGGAGTTATATTTTTTGTCAAAAGACTACTGAAAACATTTCTTTTTAAAAAATTTTCACTGACAAATAAACATTGTACATAAGTATGGTGTATAATATATTGTGAAATGGATATATCAAGCTACGTAAGGTATTATTTCTTGATTATCTAGTGAAGTACATCTTCAGTTGTAAGAGTAAGAGCTGAAATCCATTAAGTATATTCATATTTTTATGACCATAATAGATCATAGTTTTAAAATCTTAAAATAATTTGACAAGGAAACACTTGAAAATAATAAAATACTTAATTCTACAAATAATCGCTCATAAGTCTTCATCAATGAAATATTTTCTAGCTAATATTTAGCTTCCTAGGTTTTTTCGTCTTCAGTAAGAAGTAGAAATTAACAAGTGCAGCACTGAACCTTGACAAATATTTGTTGCTTTAGATCACAGTCTCTTCATTAATAGTGCTCTCTCTTTAAAGGGAAGTGTTTGATAATATCCTCTTTTTCCCTCCCAGGGAATTGCTCCAAAGCTGGAATTTTCTACAACTTCAGTGATTACTGAATGTCTGATAAGTTCAAGGAAGTGCCGTACTCAGGTTAAAATTACTTAATGTATTTAATAATTTGATTTATTTGTTCATATTTATGATCATTTGGAAAGCTTTATCCCTTTATTTTGACTGCAGTTCTTATCAATTTTTTGGTCAGTCTTTAATTTAACTAAAGCAGTTAACAAAGATGTTTATTGTATCTTAATAAATGTGAGAAGTTAGTGATATTTTCAGATGATGCCATGCTGTTTAAAAAAAAATTTTAATGGAAAGAAGCCTGCCAGAAAGATACTGGGGTCAAGAAGTCCATAGAAAACTGAACTGGAAGCTTCTGTACATCATGTAGAAAAGTTAGAGGTTAATGCAAAAAAATCAGAGGATACCTTTTAGAAAATGTGACAGAACTTGTCAGACTAAGATATTGGTGTTTAGGGAGTGTGATTTCCTGAGTGTCTCTGATTGTTTAAGGGACATTTGTTCCATTTCCTGAGGAACTATCAGATCAAAGGAAGTGGGGGCATTCCACTCTAAATACCTTCTATGTTTGTGAAAGCATCCTTTAGTAATGTAAGAAACCTGAGTCTTTCTAGTCACCTTTACCGAGTCACATGGTGGTTTTGTGATGTTTATGATACTTTGTTCATAAGTGATGTAATAATACCACTCATGTGTAGTTGCACTGTGACCAGGTAACAATGGCCTATCTGTGATGAAGAGGTAGTAACATGTAAAGCTCAGAGGACTTAAACAGGGCACAACTGGACCTGTCATGGAAGGAGTGGGATGTTAATTCACTTAATTACCAATTTTTAATGAAAGTTGCTGGAGATGATAACTGTGAGTTAAAAAAAATAATTTGTAGAATTATTATTATCTTGAGATAGTGTCTCCCTGTGGTGCCTAAGCTGGTCTTGAACTTATGGGCAGAGCCATTGTCCTACCTTACTCTCCCAAATAGCTGGGACTACAGGTGGCCACCACCACACCTAACTTTAGCTATAGAATTATTAAGTAGACCATTCTTACTTTGTTTAGCAAGATAGCATAACATTTTTGAGTTAGACTGTAGTTATTTATCTTTTAAATGCAAGCTGAAACACTGATGTTAGAAATCTGACTATCTGTGCTTGCCAAATGCAGAGATATTTTACTGGCTTGTTTTTGAGATATGTACTGCGCACAATTGTAAATTGTTAGAAATGTTTTTCCTGGACTCACAATTTTTCTCTCCATGCTAGAGTGTGCCTAGTGTGATGGGTCAAAAGTGCTCTTTTTTTAATCTTTTGTCTGAAACATAGCATCCACATAGAAAAGTACATACATTCTAAGTGTATACTGGAACAACCTTTCTAAATGCAAAGCTACCCACCAGCAGTTTCCTTGCACATATGAACTGACATTTCTATTGTGAACTGTTGGCAAGACTCTCTTATTTTGACTTGGAATTTCAGTTTTTGTCATTTTGTCTTTATAAAGGTAAATGTGACAGGATAAGCTTTGGTAGAAAATGTGCTTAGTGCTACAGGTTTAGCTCTGGTGGAGTGCTTGCCTAGCATGCACGATTTCTATTCCTGGATTTAATCCCTAGCACAGAAAGAAAGGAAGAGAAGGATGGAGAGAAGGAGAGAAGAAAGCAGAGGGAAGCAAGGAAAGAAAGGAAAAAGAAAGGAAAGGGAAGGGGAAAAAGGGAAAAGAAAAAACAATGCAGAAAATACGCTTTGAAACCTCTTGGTTCAAATTCCACATAAAGTTGCTATAAAGATTAAAGAATGTATGCATAGCTGGCATATAACAAAATTAATGAATTTTGTAACTTTTTAAAGGTTATTTTTAATTTTTATTTTGTATTAGTATGTGTTTGCAGTACATAACATAGTTAACATTTTAATCTGTATTTTTTTAACTGGAGGAAAACTTTTTAAATACACAGAAAATAATCCACTGCATTTAAAAAGTTTTTAAGAAAGATCAATATCTTCATTGGCTAACAATAAATGTATTTTTAAAAATTAAGATAAATGGCGATATAAAAGACAGTAGTTGAAATTAAAGTAGAAAACACTAGTAGGCACAAAGGTATTCACTTTTTACACTAAAATTTGAATGTTATTAGTTCTTGATCTTACCCAAGGTGATAAATCCACTTTTTTCCTCAAGTTTGTATTAGTTACAAGTAAAATTTTAAGGGCTATAAAACAGCCTATACAGTTTTAAAAATAAGAATAAAACTATTTCGATTTTTGAGAGGAGTGAAATATACTTTGTAAATTTACATAGTTTAACAAATACTAATTACAAATATTTCTTTTATACTATTATTTTTATCAATTTATTGGACTGAAAAATTTGGCATATTGTGATTTTTCTGGGATAAAATAATTTTTTTCGTAGTCATTTAATCTTTTTACCTACTACAAAATGTAGTTTTTTATTAGTTAAAAATTAATAATAACCACTAGTATATGTTTGTTAAACTAATATATCACACAGGCTTTGCAGTGTAACCAATCTCACTAACTCATTGGATTACTTAGGTTTGGTATAATCAGAGGTAGAATATAAGGAGCTTTAAGCATTGATGAAATGGATCATTATGAGTTTAACTGGGTCTGTTTACTAAAAATTTTTAAAGGACTTGAGGAAAGAGGTTTACAGACTGCTGTAACAAATACAGTGAGAGTAAAAGAAGCAAATTGAGAAAAAGAGGTTTTGATGAGCAAGAGATTTGTTCAATTGGGGATGCAGTGTATCTGTATAGTGATGAAAAATCATTAGAACAAGGAAAATAATACTGAGATACAGGAATCCTAATTGCAAAGTCTTGGAAAGAGTCACTGTAAATGTTTTAGTAAACTGCAAAGATCCTGTATCCCACTAAAATTCCTTACTCCTATGAGTCAGTGTGATGTCACAGAGGTGGATACTGAGCAAGAAATTTTTTCATTTGGGGATGCAGTGGGTCTGTATAATCATGAAAAATCATTAGAACAAAGAAATTAATGCTGAGAAATAGCAACTCTAATTGCAAAGTCTTGGAAAGATTAATTGCTTAATATTTTAGTAAGTGGTAAAGATCTTTTATCCTACTAAAATTTCTTCTGTGAGTCAATGTGGTATCACAGAGGTGTATATTAGTAGAGGAAGAAGTCTGCATTACTTTTTGAAGTCACTGAAAAAAGTGTGAAAAGGTCCAGTAGCATGTCAAGAGCTTTAGAGGAAAGCAAAGATAAAATAATCTGATGCTACTGCTTTGTAGGAAACTCATAGGCTTATTTTTTTTAATTAGAAAAATATATTTCTTTCCTATGTATTTGCACTCTAAAACATTTTTTTAACTTTCTCTTTTCTATTCACATTTGTAATTTATTTACTTAGATACTCTTAATAAATAGGAAGGAGATTAAGACATTAGAGAGAGATAGGATTGGTGGTTTCTAAAAATGATTAAAGCTAGAAAAATATTCAGTGATTCTCAATATGCTTTTAGTCTAACTGAAGAGCTTTATAATTCTAGGTAATACATGAAGAAATCTTACATTACTCATGATCCAACTATTAAGGCATTTATAAAGCAGAGCCTATTTGAATAAAGTCTTATCCTAGTAACAAAATTGGAGCTATCAAAAATTTTTTTAACTTTTTGAAATGAGGTCTTACGGTGTTGCTCAGGCTGATTTCAAACACCTGGTATCAAGTCATCCACTTACAGAGCTCTCAGTCTGCTGAGTGGCTGGAACTACAGGAATGTGCCAATTCCAGCTCATTTTTATTTTTTAAATTTCAAAATTTTAGACTGGCCAAGTGTGGTGGCACATGTCTAGTTCCAGCTGCTTGGGGTGCTGAGGCAGAGGGATCACTAATTCAAGGCCAGCCAGAGCAATGTGGTGAGATCCTTTCTAAGTTTTTGCAAACTGGAAAGTGTCCATGAGACTGAGGGCTGAGAGATAAGGAAGTAAAAAGAGTTAAGATGTGCCATATACATGCCACATACCCACAATGAATGTAAACATACATTGTAAAGTGAACTAAAAATAACAGTAATTAACAATAACATTGAAAATAGGGGAAAGGGACTAAAACAGAATCAAGATGAGTTATGTACATGTACTTACTCTCTAAGATGAATGTAAACTTCATGTATTGAAAACGTATACTAATAAAATAAAATTTTAAAAAATGGCTTGGGATATAGTCTCCAGTACCACAGGTTAAAAACAATTTATACCACTAACCAATTTTACCAGAAGATAAAGTACCAGTTATTAAATTTTACAATGTGTCTTTTGTACATTGTTACCCTTATAAAAACCTAGGACCAGAATTAAAATTGTATGGTTATCATTGAATTGTAAAGTTACAGCTTGGAAGGGACCATAAAATCCTATTCACCTTATATAACTCAAGTAGTATACTTCATTAAAATAGGTATAAAACTTTAGATTTTTGTTGTATGTGTTATATGTGATTATCACATAATACATGAAACCTATTTTTATAGCTTTCTCCATAAATATTTCATAATCAACTAATTAAATATGTATATTTTTAACTTTATTAAACATAATTCTCTTAAATTTTATAGCCAATTATTTGAATATTTAAATATAAGTGATAACCAAAATGACTTTGTAAAGTTTTTTTTTTTTGTACTGGTAAAACTTTAGAAAATATCTCCTTCTGCTAAATTAATTATTATTTTTCGTGTTCAGGATAAATTTACCTACCATTCAGCTCCAGTTGAAAAGTCCCATGGCAGACCACAAAACAGAACATCAAGATCACAAAAGAAGAAAACCAAGTCACCCGAGAGAAGTAAATGTTGCATAAATGCAAAAAACTACGAACAGCCTACAATTTCTTCAAAATCGCATTCTCCATCTCCCTACACAAAAAGACGCATGTGTGAACTATCGGAAGACACAAGGCGGCGGCTGGCCCATTTAAATTTAGGACCCTATGAATTCAAAAAAGAAACAGATAAACCACCATTTGTAATTAGACATGTATGTATTCTCTTAAACACTTGCATTTGAAACTTATCAAATCTATTCTGCCACTGAAATATTATTCTGAAATGTCATTTAATTTCTGGCTTATATTATTAATTTTCTTACCTGAACTTTTTTCTAGTAATTTATGTAAATTTTCCAATCTGAAATGGAAAATTTACTTAAAGAATTTTCTTTTTTCATTCTTTAATCCTGACAGAGATCAAGCTCCATTATGAAAGCCATGTTAAATCCTCTTTGTACCCATTTCTTTTCTTCTTGTAGGGTGGACAGCATAATAACACTACAAATTCACTTTGGTTGTAATTGACATTAACACTAAAATGGTAGAGTAAGGTTTTAGAAGAGAACAATTTATGGAAGGGAAGACCCTCACTTACTCTGTCCTTTTAAAATATTCTAATGGAAACTAAGTTTCCTTTGAAATTACGTCCCTTTGGAAAGCTTTATATAAAGAATCTTTAAGGGAAACCATTATTTGATGGTGATGTAGTGAGAGGCCTTTGGAAGTGTAAATCGTTGACTTCAGGGCAGCATAATTCTAATCTTCCTGTAGAGAAACCTACTTTTGATATGGTTGAAATTTGAAGTCTTGTGTTCCTTCTGATACTCAAATAGAATTTGGCTAAAATTTAAGGATCTGTGATCAAAATAGTTTTAAAAAAGGGTTTTCAGACTCTTTATAGTTTTCAAAGGTTTTGAGTTTTTACTTTAAAAGATCCTTTTACCAAAAGCTTTCAAAATAATGGAAATATTTAATGTATAATACATTAATATATAAATTCTAAACCTCAACATGTAAGTACTTAGAGAAGCAAGATATTTTTGATATATATAAAATTACTGACTGTAATGGCTCTATTTTTTCCTAAATTCTAAAGTGAATTAATCTAATATGTAAATATATCCTTTTGGTGTGTAAAATTGTAAACGTTTTGAACATACACTATCTCAGAGATTCAATTTTTCTTTGTGATGCAAAGAAAATTAATCAAAATTGTTTCAAAAATATTAAATATAATTTTAACATTTAAGAATATCTTTATATTTTGACTATGAAGCCTTTATTCTTTTAAACTAGAATAATAGATTATTAATTATAAAAATTGATAGCATAGTGGATATATTTAAGTGATAATATTAGTGATATTCTTATGGTTGCATTTATTTCTGTCGAATTTGATTACAAATTCTGGTCACTTTTTGGTTGTTTGAACAGTATTCAGATAATGTTTTCCTTGCTTGTTAGAAAGACTTGAACTTTATGTCCACCCACAATTACAAATTAAATTCAAAAGAAAGGGGGCTCACTTTGGCAGCACATGTACTAAAACTGGAATGATACAGAAAAGATTAGCATGGCCCCTGCTCAAGCATGACATAAATTCTTGAAATGTTCCATACTTTTACAGATTCAACAACTTTTGGAATTCTCAAAAAGATGTCAGAAAGAAATATCTGACATTTAAAAAATGTATAGCATTTATAAGTTACAGAAACAACTAATGTGAATACAGAGTGTCTGATACTGAGAATGAAATAGTGAATTAGTATGAAGAGCTCAAAGAAGCCAAAAAAGATTAGAGAAAATAAGATTATCTATGATAGTAAATAGTCATTACTATCAGTAGCCATGATAGTACATACCAACACATTTCAGTAATATCTATGTTAACACCCTCAACTCTTCAATTAAAAGACATAGATTGGCAAACTGGGTCAAAAAATAGAATCCAACAGGCTTGCCTTCAAGAAACTCATCTAATCCAAGAAGGTGTGTGTTATGATTTGTGTCTAGATATTCCCCCAAAGCCTCATGCAGTCATGGGGAGCAGGCTTTTTAGAGGTGTCTAGATCTAGAGCTTGTGATTGATTCATAGTCCAGTGCTGGGAATAAGGCTGTGAGTGCCACACCCACCCTAGAGTGGGTAGCCTGTACATAATATAAGGGAAAGAAAGAGGCTTGTTCCCCCTCTCTGCTTGTTGCTTTTGCTGTCTTCTGCTGTCATAAACTTTTGCCCCTCTGCCATGTGTCACCCTGACTTGGAGCCAGCTGATTATAGACTAAAATCCTCCACAAACTGTGAGCTAAATAAACCTTTCTTCCTTTAACTTTGAGTGTCAGGTATTTTGTCTCAGCAATGACAGAAAAATAAGGCAGTATACATAGACTGAAAATTAAAGGATGAAAAATAGCATTTTATGCAACAGAATTCTGAAAACAGGACTCACAATAATTGCAGGGATAGCAGTTCTAATATCAGACATGGTAATCTTCAAGCTGAAACTGATTAGAAGAGACAAAGAAAATCACTACTTACTAGTTAAAGGAACAGAAGGAGATAACATTGACAAAATATATGCAACAAATATGGATCACATACCTTTATAAAATAAAACTACTGAAATTAAAAGATCAAATAAATGCTAACACAGTTGTAGTAGGGAATTTTAGCACCCCACTTTTGCAAGAAGTAGATCAACTAAACTAAAAACCAACAAAGAAATATCAGAGCTGAACCACACCCTTGAACATTTGGATTTAATAGATATATACAGAGGATTCCACCCTTCTACAACAGAATATATAGTCTTTTCAGCAGCACATGGTACTTTTTCCAAAATAGATCACATACTAGTCCACAAAACCAGCTTAAGTAAATATAAAATAATTGAAATTACCCCAGGACTCACCAAGAGAAAGAGAAAAAGGACTGATATCAATGCAATTAGAAATGAAAAAGATGAAATTACAACAGACACTGTCAAAATCCAGACGATAGTAACTACTTCAGCTGTACATGATACTTTTTCCAAAATTTTTTTCCAAAAATTATATTTTAACAAATTAGCAAATTTTGAAGAAATGGACAGATTCCTAGACACACACAAACTACAAAAACTAACCCGAGAAGACATAAATATGCTTAACAATCCAATAATAAGCAATGAAATTGACACAGTAAGAATCTACCAACTAAAAAAAAGGACCTGAGTGATTCACTGCTGAATTCTACAAAGTCTAAGGAGGTTATATCACCAATACTCCTCACACTTGTGAAAGAAATGAAAAGGGATGGAGTGCTTCCAAATTCATTTATAGAATCCATTATCACCCTGATCCCCAAAACAAAGACTCAAAGAAGAAAACAACAGGTCAGTCTCCTTAATGAACATAGATGCAAAAGTCCTCAACAAGATATTAGCAAATAGAATGCAGTACATTATCAAGAAGATCATACATCATAATCTAGTAGGTTTCTTCCCAGAGATCTAAGGATGTTTCAACATACATAAGTCAGTAGAATGGTACCTTAGTTCACAAACTTGATTCTTACTAAATTCTTGCTCCAAACCAAGTTGGATAAGAACCAAATCAAATACAGTGGTTAAGTTCAATGTTGACTTTATACAAAAATTAGTTTTGATTCTCATCCAGTTCAGTTTGTGACCAGAATTGTGGAGAGAATTGAGTTTCTGAACTGAGGTACCACTATAATGCAATACATCACATAAACAGGAACAAGGTAAAAAACCATAAGATCATATCAATAGGTACAGAAAAGGCTTTTGACAAATCCAGCCCCCCTTCATAATAAAAACCTTGAAGAAAACAGGTACGATGAAGGGACCATACCTGAATATGATAAAAGCTATTCATGACAAATCAATAACCAGCATCATACTAAATGGGGAAAAACTAAAAGCATTTCCCCTAAAATCAAGAAAAAGACAAGGATATCCTCTATCATGTCTTCTATTAAACTTTATACTTGAAACAGCCAGAGCAATTAGGCAAGAGAAAAATAAAAGGGATACATAAAGGAAGAACTCAAATTATCATTATTTGAAGATGACATGATACTCTACATAGAAGACCCAAAGAACCCCACCAAAACCTCATAGAATTAATAACCAACTTCAGCAATGTAGCAGGATACAAGATCAACACTCAGAAATCATTAGCATTTTTTGTATACCAATAGGAACTGGATGAGAAGGAAATTATGAAAATAATACCACTCACAGTAACTTCAAGAAAAATGAATTTTACTCAAGAATTAACAAGGAAGTACAGACAAAGAAAACTGTCATAGTCTGAGAGAGGAGATTGAAAAGGACATCAGAAAATGAAAAGACATCCCTGGTTCTGGATAGACAAAACCAGTATTGTCAAAATAGACATTCTCCCAAAATTTTTATACAGATTCAATGCAGTCCCAATCAAAATAGCAATAGCATACTTTACAGATCTACAGAAAACAGTCCTAAAATTCATATGGAACCAGAAGAGACCCAAAATAACAAAAGCAATTTTGGGCAACAAGAGCAAAGCAGGAGGCCTTGCTATACCTGACTTCAAACTATACTACAAAGCAATCAGTAGTGATAAAAATAACATGGTACTGAAACACAAACATATGTAGATCAGTGAAACAGAATTAAAAATACAGAAACTTCAATAGACACATTCAGCTATTTGATCTTTGACAAGGGGCCAAAAACATGTTGCAGGAAAGATAGCCTATTCAACAAGGGGTGCTGGGAAAACTGGTTATCTCTTTGCACAAGATTGAAAACTGGACCCCTATTTCTCACCATATACTAAATTAAAATCAATATGGATCAAAACAAAGATTAAACCTATTGGAAGATAAAATGGGTAACACTTGGAGATGTAGATGTGGGAAAGGATTTTCTAAACAGCATCTCAACTGCATAAGAAACAGCAAGAATCAACAAATGGGGTTATATCAGACTAAAAAGCTTCTGTACCACACACAAAAAAAATCAGTCACTAAAGTGAAGAGACAACCTACAGAATAGGAAAATATTTTTGCCAGTGACTTCTCAGAAAAAGGATTAATATCTAGAATATACAGAACAAAAACTCAAAAATATTAAACCACCTGAAATTAAAGACCCAGTCAAGAAATGAGCAAGAGAAATGAACAGGCACTTCACAGAGGAAGAAATACAAATGGTCAACAAATATATGAAAAAACTTCAACATCTCTGGACATTACAGAAGTGCAAATTGAAACAGTGCTAAGATTCCATCTTACTCCAGAAAGAATGGCAATCACTAAGAAATAATAAATCCTGGGGGGGCTGTGGTGAAAGAGGAACTCTCTTTCATTGTTGGTGGGAATGTAAACTAGTACAACCATTATGAAAATTAGTGTGGCGATTTCTCAGTGAACTGAAATTAGAGATTCTGTATGGCTCAGCTATCTGCCTTCTGGGTATCTTCCCCAGAGAGCTTATGACATCATAGTACAGCAGTACATGCGTACCAGTGTTTATGGCAGCATATGTAATAGCTAACTCCTGGAAGCACCCTGTATACCCATTAACAGAGGATTGGATAAAGAATATGTGGTAACTATATGTAATGGAATACTACTTGGTGATAAAGAATGACAAATTTGAACTTTGTAGGAAAAATAGATGCCCCTTGGAAAATATAATGTTGAGCGAAATAAATCATACACACAAGTTTATATACTTTGAGTATATTTCATGTGGGTGAGGCAAAGTACAATGAGAATAATAAAGGACAGATACAAGGGAATGGATCTCTTGCAATAGGGAAGTGGTGGTGGGGGCTGGGGATTAACTCAGTCGCACAGCGCCTGCCTGGCAAGCACAAGCTTGTGAGTTCGATTCCCAGTACCAGAAAAAAACAAAAAAAAAAACAACTTTAATAGGGAAGTGGCCCAAGGAAACAAGGGCAAGCAGAGAAGAGCAAGAGAAATAAGAATGTAGTTATGCCATGGACAGGAAGCTAATAACCTTAATTAATGTGAATATTTTATACCATAACATGAAGTATGATTAATACTATCAAGAAGAATGAAAAAAATGGGACTGGGGATTTGAAGGAGGAGGGAGGAATGGGAGGGGAAAGAGAAGGAGATTTAAGAAAGAAGAAACAAGCCGTAGTATGTACATGTGACCAGTCCCCAAGATGACTGTAAACTGCATGAACTGCAAACAAGTAATAATAAAAATTTTTTAAAAAATTATAAAAGAAAGGCTATGCAGTATCCTATTGTGAAGGAATAGTAATATTTTTAAGAATACAAGAATGTAAGAATAATTAATAATACTTTTAAGAATCGTAATATTTTTAAGAATACTGATATACAAAAATAAACATATTATGGGGTTAGATATAAAAACATTAGGGAAATAACTGCTCTTAATTTGACAACTTTTCCTTGGTGTTCAAATGCAATAAGCATTTCAACCATTTAAAAGTGTACAGTTCAGTGGTATTAAGGATATTCATATTGTACAGTTATCTGATTTAAGCAATTTCTCACCACCCTAAATAGAAACCCTTTACTCATAAAATAGTCACTCCTCTCCTCATTTCTCTTCCCCTCACCTTGGAAATCACCAGTCCACTTTCTGTCTCTATGAATTTGCCTATTTTACCATTTCCCGTAAATTGAATCATGCTGTGTAGCTTTCTAAAAAATCTTAGCATGATGCTTTTGGGGTTCCTCCATGTTGTACTTGTTAGTACTTGATTCTTTTCTATGGCTGAATAATATCCCAGTATGGGTGTGTGGAGAGGTATACATTTTATTTTTTTTATTGATGGACATTTGGGTTGTTTTCACCTTTTAATTAGTGGAAATAGTGGTTCTGTGAATAATTTTTATATAAATTGTTCAATGATTGCTGTTTTCAGTACTTTTGTGTAAATATCTAGGAATATATTTGCTCTCGTATGGTAATTCTGTGTTTAACTTGTTGAGGAATTCAGTGTTTCCCACACTGGATGCAACATTTTACATTACCACCAGCAATGTGTAAGGGTTCTAGTTTCTCCACATTCTCACAAATATCTGTTATTTTCTTGGTTTTGTTGGCATTGATCTGATATTTTATTTATGTATGGTGCTGGGGATTTAACCCAGAGCCTCATGCATGCTAGGAAAGTGCTGCTGAGCGGTACCCACAGCTCTGTTTTGTATTTATTAGAGCTGTCTTAGTGAGTGTGAAGTGGTGTCCCATTGTGGGTTTGACTTGTATTTCCCTAATGACTAATGATGTTGAATACCTTTCCATGTATTTATGTATCTTATTTAGAGAAATATCTACTAAAGGCCTTTGTCCATTTTATGATCTAGTGTTTTTGTACTTGATTTGTAGGAATTCTTACACCTTAACAAAATTACTCTTTGTCATGTGTATGACTTACATGGATTTTCACTGATTCCGTGGATTGCGTTTTTACACTTTTAATCTTTTATGCACAAAAGTTTTTTAAATTTTGATGAGTAGACATATCTTTTTATGTCTTTATATTCTTGTGACTTTTTATTCTTGTTTAGAAAATGTAGTTGACTCTTACATCTGAAAACTGTAAGACACTCAGATAGGTTCTGACCATAACCTAATAGAGACACTTCTTGAATTAAAATTGGGGATTTTTTATTGTTGTTCTTTGTTTTTTGAGACATAGTGTCTCTATGCAGTTCAGGCTGGCTTTGAATTCACTATATAGTCCAGGTTGGCCTTGAACTCACTGGAATCCTCCTGCCTCAGCTTCCCCAGTGCTGGGATTACAGGTGTGTGCTACCATGCCTAGCTTGAATTCGAACTGTGTACGCTAAGGTGATAAGTAGCAGATGGATGGATTTGTTTTGAAAATAAGGCAGAATGGTCTTCTTTACATCTTTGTAGTGGAAAAACAGATTAGGTAATAAGGTAGTAGGCATTTTAACTATTATCTATGCATTTTAAAGTAGGCACAAATATAGTTAATTTCTAGCCAGATACAGTGACACACACCTGTAATCCCAGCACTCTGGGAGGTTGAGGCAGGAAGATATCAAATTCTAGTCCAGCCTCGGCAATTTAGCAATACAATCTCAAAATAAAAAATAAAACCGTCTGGGGATCCAGCTCATGGCGAAGACCCTGGGTTCAATTCCCAGTACCATAAATAAATAAATAAATAAATTCTGGAACTTAATTTCAATTTTGTTTAAAAATAACTAGGAAAGCAGTTAACTAAACTCTGACTTTGGAACATAGCTGGTGAATAGAGGCTCCATCACTTAACCTGTTTTATGGTATATGTCCATGAATTAGTTTCCCAGTGTCACAGGTTTGAGAGACTATACCACTTAGGCTCTTTTTTACATTGAAAATCCTGCTTCTTCTAGGTTGATCCCCCAAGTCCCAGGGCTGATACTCTATTTGGACTGTCTGGCAGAGACTGTGAAAGAGATGGGTGGTCCAGGATGCACAATGGTAAGCTTGGCATTGTCTTTCTTCGTTAGGTAGTTGCCTGGATTATCATTGAGTCTTTTAAATTGACATCAACTAATAAAAACAGAATCTTTGCCAAACTATTTGATAAAATGATATTTTTTTTTTACAATACGTGGGATACCCTTATGGGCACTCCTTAAAAATAATAGAACGTATATGTTATGTTGCCTCTAATCATGCTTCTTTGAGATTCTAAATATTTTTTAGCATGCCAGGATTCTGATACCTTCCAGAAAAAATAATTTGACTGGGGCTGGGGATTTAACTCAGTGGCACAGCGCCTGCCTGGCAAGCATGACGTCATGAGTTCAATTCCCGGTACCAGAAAAAAACCAAAACCAAAAAAATAATAATAATTTGACTAATTTGGTTGTCAAAATTTTCTAACCTTATTTGTTTGGGAAACCCCTTTCTCACCAAAATGTGTGTTAATTTGTAAAAGGGATTTGGGGAAACCAAATGGGAAAGAATTCAGTTGTTGGAGCAGGGCTCCCCAGCCCCAGGTCAAGGACCAGAATCTGTCTCACAGCAGGGTGGGTGGCCAGTGGGAGCTCATCTGCATATGCAGCCACGCCCATTGCTTACATCACCACCTGAGCTCCGGCTGCTGCCACATCAGTGGTGGCATAAGATTCTCATGGGGTTCCAAAACAAAATGATAGGAATTAACAGTGGTTGAAACCCTTTATCATTTTTATTGTTTTTGCTTTGTTTTGCTTTTGTCTATGTTGTTGTTATTTTTATTTTTTTTAATTCTCTTTAAAATTAATTAAAAAAAAAGTTTCTCATAGGGACATGAGCCATACCATAAACTTTCAGCCTATGTTATCTAGATTGTCTTCTCCTTTGAATCATCCTCACTCCCTATGATATACCCTGCTCCCTACAGGAAAAACTGTCTTTCACAAAACCAGTGTCTGGTACCAAAAAGGATGGGACTGCTGGCTTGGGACGTCTATGTAGATATACTTGAATACTATTTGAATACTTGCTCTGTCATTTATCTATAAACTTGGCATTCTTGAAAAGATAATCTTAACTACTTTGATAATTAGTTTATTAAAGAATGAAGATAACAAAGGAAATATTACCATGTAAAATGACTTAGCACATAAGTGCTTAGTAAATATCAGCTGTTAATATAATTACAGTAAGTATTACTTATATTGCTTAAAGGATAATGTTCTTTACATTTAATTTATAAAAAAAAAATCTATCTTTAGTCCCAGTCCTTATGGTTAGATAAAATTCTTCTTACATTCTATAAAGGTGATTTTTATTTAAAAAGTTTAAATAGTATAATAAAGGACAGTTGAACATTAATAGAAACTGTGCCAAGACACCAAATACTGACTAACAGCCTTTAAAGTTAATTTACTACATACTGAGAAAATCACAGAGGGAGTGAAAGAAAAATAGAATCATTACTTGTAGTGAGCTCTTTCTACAGTTTATAATCTTTTTAAATGAAACATTTTCTGAGAACAGGCAGAGTTTGTGCTTGTTTATTTTGTTTTTTAGCACTAACAGAGATAAATGTGGTAATCAATAAGTATTTTAAATCCACAATAGCAAATTATATAAAATTAGAAACAGATGTTACATTATTTCCTCTAGTAGAAGAAATTTAGGGATATAGAAAATGAGCTTTATGTGCAAGCCAATGGAAAGTAACTTCAATATAGACATTTCTTTGGAAGGTATTTGGTTTTTTTTTTTTTTTTTTTTTGGTGCTGTTTTTCTCTTTTTTTCTTTTTTCTGGTACCGGAAATTGAACTCATGACCTCGGGCTTGCCAGGCCAGCGCTTATGCCGCTGAGCTATATCCCTAGCCCCGGTGTTTTTTGTTTTTGTTTTTGTTTTTTTTTTAAACACTTAAGCATTTGATTTCGCTTGAGTATTAAGTATTCCGCAGCAGAACTGTTACAGTTTCTAATAACTTCTAACTGGAAGTCTGCCTATGTAGAGGCAGATCAGAAAGGTCACTGGGTTGCTTTTATCTTTCTTTTAGCTTTTTATTTTGGCGTCATTTCACACAGAAAAGTAGACGGTAATAGAAAGCATTCTCCATATACCTTTCATTTGTGATCCACAAATAATAATATTCACTTTCTTTTATGTCTTTTTTTCTTTCTTTCTTTCCCTTTTGTTTATCAGCTCTCCTGCCAGTGCATATGTCTATGTATAAACTTTTTGGGGAAGAATATTATTCCATATTAAATTTGTATGTTGAAGCCCTAACACCCAATGTGATATTGTTTAGAGACCCTCCGGCCTTCGGAAACTGATTATGTTTAGATGAAATCATGACTGGAGCCCTCGTGATAGGAGAATGTCCTTGTAGCAAAAGAACTCAGCTAGAAGGCAGCCATGTGCAAACTAGGAAAAATGATTTCTCCAGGACCCAACCATACTGACACACTGATTTCCAACTTGCAGCTTCCTGAACTGTGAGAAATAAATTTCTACTGTTCGGAGCCACCAAGTCTATCATGTTTCATTATGATAGTCTAAGCAGACTAATACAGATACTACTTTTTGTGATATAACTATAAGTAGTAGTCAAATTGACATGATATAATTATATTACTTAATCTATAAACCTAAATCAGATTTTTCCAGTTGTCCTATGTCTTTGTATCAAAAGAAATTCTGTGGCAGTGTTCAGCTGTCATTTCTCTTTACTTTTCTTTAATATGGATCAATTTCTTAAAGATTCTTCCTTTTTAATGACACCCTTAATTTTGAATAGGACAGACCAGTTTTTTACTCTGCCCTCTAACTTGTTTTGTTTGATTCTTTTTCCTTGTGCTTAGACTTAGATTATTGATTTTTCCCCAGAATAAAACAGAAGCGATGTGTTATTATCCGTGCAAGTCAGAAAGTATATGGTCTTGCTTTGTTCCTGGTAATGTAAAGTTTGCTCACTTGATTAAAGTGACTTGGTTACATTTCTCCAGCATTAAAGTGTCATTTCTTTTGTTTGTCTTTATGGGAAGGTACTTTTGAGCTATGTAATGTCCTGTTATACTTTAATTTTGACCTCTTTAGCATACATGAATGATAGAGACCTGAAACAATTTATTATCATGAGGCTTGCCAAATAGTAAGCTTTTAAAACTCCATTACTCTTTATACATTTATTAGTTTGCTTTGTACTATAAAGAATTGTCCTTCTCTTCTTCTTTTTTTTTTTTTTTTTTCCTTCTCTTCTTTTAATGCCCTAATTCTTTTGACTATTTGGGGCAACAGTTGGATAGATGCCAAACTGTTTTTGTTTCAAATTTTTATTGCTATTTACATATATAGGATTTTTTCAGGGTAGAGTCTCTTACACATAGTGAATTTTCATTTGTAATCTTACATTAGTAGATACTCTTCTTGAACATTTCTTGCCATATTGTGTTGCCTAATAATTTATAAGTTGTTGTAGGATGATGTTTTCACCAGCACTGACCTATTCAGTCTTTATAAGAATTGTTTGTCAATAGCTTTAATTAAATTTAATTGAGAAAAATGACAAAGGCTTAGCAAGATTAAGTGACATAATGGTGAGCTACAAAATGACCATGCTAGGTCTTCTAGATCCAAGTTCCTCCTTTTTCCACCAGACTTCTAGTACTTCCTTTATTTTCACTAAAGTACATTGTCTCTATTGGGAATTATAACAATTCTTGTTATAATTTATGCAGTCCTTTTGAAGAAATTCGGTACCCCTTGTAATTCAAGAGTTAGGAAGCTTTATATGGTCATTTTTTTTTTTATTTAAAGAGAAAATCAATGGTGTCATCTTGACCTTATTTACTTAGGAATTTAAGAAAGATGTGAGACTCTGACTCCTCCCTTTGAGAAAACACTTCTTATTCTCTTCATGTGAAGATTCTTTTTTGATTTTCATTTGCATATAAGATTGTAATTTTTTACAAGCTTGCACTGATTTCTTTGTTGATAGTTGCATTGTTAAATAAAATTAGAAAAAACATTTGAAATTCCAGTATGTCATATTTTGAATAGATAATGCTCAGTTGCAATATTTTCATGCCATCTGAAGAAAATACCATGTAATCTTTATATACATACTTGTTAGCAAAATACTTCATTTGTCTCAGTTTTTATTTAAATGTGTCCCTCTTTGGATTTCTTGCAGAGAAGTACCAACTAAATCCATCATTTCTAGGTTTACTTCTTTATTTGGTTTATTTATTTTTTTATTCAACATTTTAAGAGCTTTACTTATTTCGTATACTATAAAATTTCCCTTTTAATATGTACAATTAAATGATTTTTAGTAAATTTGAATTGTTGTTAAATCACCAGACCCAGTTTTAGAACACTTCCATCGTCCCAAGGCCTTCTGTACACTTGTTTCTGGTCAACTACATCCCCTCTTCCAGCCCTTGGCTTGTTTTCTCCTTTTTGCTATTATTAAGAACACTATTGTGAACATTTGTATTATAGTCTCTGCACAGATATATTTACCTTCTTTTGGATAGATACCTAGGAGTGGAATCCACTCTTATGGAGAATTTACGTTTAACTTTTAAAGAAATTGCTTACTATTTTCCAAAGTGACTGAACCATTTTACATGCCCACCAGCTCTGCATGAGTGTTCCAGGTTCACTGTGTACTTGACATTTTTTATCATTTCTGTTCAGATCATCCTAGTAGTGGATGTATAATCCTATCTTACGATTTTAATTTGCATTTTCCTAAAGACTAATGGCATTGAATGTATATTCACGTACTTAGTAACCACTTCTATATTTTCTTTGGTGATCACTACTCTTCTAGTCCATGGTAAACAGGGTACCTGTTTTGTGGTAGTCTCTAGATCCAGGTCTTAGCAAGGCGGGTTTTATTTTGAGGTTTCTTCTCTTGGTTTGTAGGTGTCTACCATGTTGCATTGTATTCACATGACCTCTTCTTTGTGTAAAGGCTTTGTCCCATCACGAGGGCTCACTTTTATGACTTATCCTTTACCCTATCTTCAGATGTTATTAAATACAGATCTTGGAGTGGAGACTCCAATATTTAGTCCATAACATCTATTTCATGAAATTTTTGGAGAGTGAAATAATAGCTAACATTTACTGAATATGTTTTTTGTACTAGGTGCTATTCTAAGTAAGTTCTTGTATTGCATTGATTAATTACAGCATCCTCATGAAGTTTAGATATTATTATTTCCATTTTATAGGTAAGGACCCCTGAGGTTTAAAGTTAACCAAGATCATACATACAAGATCTGCATTTTACAAACTACTTATAAACATAGCCTAACTTGAACATGCTCTTGAATCTTTCCTTGAACCTTTTCTTAAATGAGGCCCATTTATTACGCCCAGCTCAAGTTATTCCATCTTTATAACCCTCCTCTGATTGCCTTAACTTTGGGGGTTGCACTCTAATACGCTTTTTATATAATTAGTTGTACCATTCTGACTTTATCCTGCTCCTGTATAATGGTGTTATTCAACTTCATATAACTTAACGAAAGTAGATTATAACTACTTCATGGCTGTGGGACGTAGCTGTTATTTCCATTATCTCCTGGTGAGAGTGAGTGACTGTGAACATTGGGAAACCTCAGATAAAAGTAATACCTTAATTTGTAAAAACAAGATCAAATTATAAGCATATTCAAGTTAGGCTATGTTTATAAGTAGTTTGTAAAATGCGGAAGACATACCAGTGCTTTAACACACTGAAGTTTTTAATATAACATTAGCTTCCAGAGAATATATGCCACTTCCAGAACTCTCAATCTTCAAAGTTAGCGTTTTTGGAGAATTAGGCTCACTATGTTCTCATTATTCTTTTATTTCTTCAGCTACATTAATGCCTTTGTTTTTCTTCCGGTACCAGGAATCAAACTCACGACCTTGCGCTTGCCAGGCAGGCGCTTTGCTGCTGAGCTAAATCCCCAATCCCTGCCTTTGGTTTTATTTTAGTTTTATACATTGGATTTGTCAAGAAGAGAAGAACTGGACTGGAGTTACTTTATTTTTAGTTTTGAAAAGCAGTAGAAGTAAATTGCCTCTTACCAACATGAAATAGAGAAGTTACCCTGTGTGAAAACAGATATTTCAGCTGACTTTTAGGATGACTCAGGGCATCTAGTAAACAAACATCTTGGGCAATAAAAATAAAGCTAGAATTCTTTCCTGAATACTGACTAGTCTAGGTCTCTAGCGATATAATTATTTTTTTCTGGATAAGACTGTTTGGGAAAGTAAAATATAGAATCTTACAGTGTTTTGAGTAGAATGTATAAATGAAGAAGGAAAATTGTAAGTTATGATTCTGATTTTTTACTATAACTATTATAAAGATTATAGTACTTTAAAATTGCTCCTTAAGAGTTGATTAATTAATAAAATCCCAAATCTGCATGTACATATAGTGATTATCATTTTAGGGAGATATTTACAATTATATTTAAAATCCACTGTGCGATAAATATTGTGCCAGAGCCTTTTACAAGTCATATAATTTAGCTGTTTACTTTGACTCTCTGAGGTAGTATAAGCATTATTTTTATATTCTTAAAATAAGGAGTGAAATATAAATTAAGAATATAACAATTTAAAAAATATATCTTGTGACAGAATTAGAAATTGAACATTTTTGAGTTAAAATTTTATGTTAGTGATATTAATTGATATGTTAGCAATAACAGCTAACATTTATTTTAGTGCCTTTAGTTTTATTTTAGTTTTGTAATAGTTAACATTTTCTTAGTTTGTCTAACATGATCTTTAAAACCATATTATGAAAGAGGTGCATCAGACAGGTTAGGAATCTTGACTTAAAAGTTAAGTTCCAAGATCATGTAGTCAGTAGGGGGGCCTCAAACATGCAATGCAGCTCTATTTGTCAGCGGTGTCTGTACACTATATTGTGCTACCATCATCTCAGGCTAGTCAGGTATTGGGAATTCCAGCATGAACTCCAAGAATAAGAGCACATGTTGTTTCACAATATCTATGAAATCTACAGATTCAACTATTATTTCATCAGAGACTAATTTATCAGCAAAAACTTACCCAAGTTGGTTTTTCAAGTAAAAATTATCTCTGACTCTATTAAGATATCTCCTACTTTAGTCAGTATAGCATTTGTGAAATCATTTCATTACTGAAGAATCAATGCCAGTTTTAACTTGTTGGCTGGGGGCTGGGGATTTCGCTCAGCAGCAGAGTGCCTGCCTGGCAAGTGCGAGGTCATGAGTTCAATTCCCGGTACCAGAAAAAAAAAAAATTAGCTTGTTGGCTGATTGTCCTTGCTTTTTGTAACACTGTTGAAGGGTTTTAAAGTCTTTCTAAAGTCTGCTACATGAATTATAATTATAGAAACAGTGATAGTAGCAAAAATCATAGATGACACCAAATTTTCTCTCTTTTGGTATGACATTTATACTGTAATTCTTTTGTACATCCTTTTTCAGATCATTCTCATCTTGGCTGCTACCGACCTAAGGATTATAAGGTATGTAGAACAAATTAGAGAATGATAATTTTTCTGGATTTCAGGCAATGACAGAAGATTCATCTAGTAAAAAAGTACAAAGCAATAATTGCCCCATCATGGAATACCACTATTTTGTCATCTATGCCACGTGGTACAGTATGCCTGAATGTCGTCTTCCAAATATTTTGTGGCTTTTGATTATTAATTTGGATTTATTAATTATTTAATACATGAGTGTGTGAGAAAAAGAAATTGGTTGTTATTTTTAGTAATATCTCACAAAATAGTATCTCCAGATTTCAGTTATTCACACAGTATTCCCATAACTTTTACAATATCTGCATTCATTTATACTATTTGTTTAAATTCACTTTCTTTTTAATTCATCTCACTATTACAAAATAAAAATCAATATAATTTGCTTTATTATCCATATAAAATGCTTTATTTTAGTCTTATGCGTTCCTGAAATCTGGCTAGATCCTAGCTTTTGCTGGCAGGCATGCATTGTATTTCTTATGTGAAACAAACAGTGGTAGGTGTAAGTGACATACTGACAGGTAACTGAGGACTTCTGATGGATGGAGAGTTGAAAGATAATGCAGTTTTATGCAACGTTAGTATATATCCATGAATCATGTGAAATAATCTTGTGTATCATCTAAAATCACTTGGATAACCATATTAAATTATCTAATTATAGCACTCAAAGGCCATGTTCTACATTCTGAGAAATACTTCCTCACAATGTTTTTTCTTTCCCTAAGTGAAAACTTATTCATAAGTGTCACTATTCTTAAGAAAATAAAACAATATTAAAACATAGCTTTCCTTTTAATACCTGTGTTTACTTACCTGAAAATTTCACTTGCACTTATTGGAACTGAACAGATAAAACTTTGCTATGCTTTAACTGAGATAAAAGAAATCTGGAACAGTTAATGAGTCAAGAAGCTATGTGACAAGGGCCCAAATCTATCCGTGTCTGAATTATCAAGGTAGAACTTTTCTAACGATTCATTTCAGGCCTACTAAAGCGAAATTGCTGAGAAAGGAGACTGGAATTTTCTCACAAGTTTCTCAGTGATTTTTGTGCAGCTGTTTTCCACTTAGCCAAGGATTTGCATCTGAGTGCCACTGTCTCGACTATAAAAGCAGCACAAATAAAAAAGGCTATTCCTGTATAATGTTTGTGTAGCATTATGCCTTGTTTAAGGCCATCTCTACAGGAGTATGGGCCTGGCATAAGTTGCCACATCCAGGCTCACCCTGTTATGTAGAATTTATTCAGTCATAATATATGCACAACTGCCTTGATATGTGTGAGAGTGCTGTGTCATCTATCAGGTCTAGAACAGCAAGGACCTTATTGATCCTCCTGGTAATTGCTATCACCTTCATATATAGTGTGTTCCTAATATATGTGCATTATATGAGTGGATTGTTAAAACAGAAGTAAACCAAATATAAAGAGAAATGGATAAAGTTTATAGGACATTAATATTTTTCCTAAGGTAGCTATAATCCACATAAGTTAGTTGGTTCATCCAAAGATAGGTATAAAGTGACCTTTTCTCCAAATGCATTTTGCCAAGAACTGTACTTCAGTGCATCTTTAATTCCCTTCTACTTCCACCACTGGATTCTTTACTTTTAAGACTTCCCTTGGGAGGCAGTGCCTCGTGGGTAAGATAGCATATTGTTTGTGCATCCAAAAGGTAAATTTTCATAGCAATGTATGTTCAGCACTGAAATAATAAAGGATTATTTTCTTCCAGACACACAGTAGTTAGTTAATAAATACTCAGGTAGTAGAACACTATGGGAATTGTATAAGGCTTTTTTGAGCCATGAATTTGGGAGTACTTACTGAAAATTTTATGGAAAAATGAGTCTTTTCCCTAGTTCTCTGGAGAAACATAAGACAAGAGAGATAGGATTGTCTTCAAAAGGGAAACAACATGAAATCTTGTAATTTGGAGTAAGTACAGTGTCTTAGGAGAAAAGAGAAACTACTGTACTCATCTGATTTGAAGGATAATGGCTCCCTAGCATTCTTACTTCTATCTAGACTGCTTTTCCTTTTTTGATATTTCTAGTTTTTCAGTTTTTATTTGTTCTTTTAGCAAAACTCAACACTCTTTATCCCAGATACATAATAAGCAGCTATTCTCATAGATACTCCTAGTTTTTAATCTCATTTCTTGGGGCAAGCTCAGCAGCACAAGTGCCTGCCTGGCAAGCACAAGGTCCTGAGTTTGATTCCTGATACAAAAAAAAAGCAAAAGCAGTGTATCTCATTTCTTTTCTATTCCACTATTACTCCACCCTGGATCATTGATTTCTTTTCTCCCATGTGTCACTTATATATCTTGTGTATGGTCGGGATTCATTTAACACATTGAGTCTCAGTGGGGATACCATCATCCTGTAGGTGGCATTCTAGATATTTCCAAAGACATCATGTTATTGCATTTATTTAGGGGAAGTGGTAACTAATAAGCTAAAGGGTAGATTTTCTGTAAAGAGCAAGACAATTCCAAACAGTAAAGAGTTGTCTCCTATGGAACATGGCTTTCAACCATCTTACCAAATATTATGGAGATGAGAAACATAGATAATTATTAGAATCTAAAGGCTAAGTCTACATAAAACACATTTTTCATGGTTTTCATATTAACTATATTACATAAGTGTTGTAAAAATACTGTATTTTGTTAAGAATGCTATGCCATAAGGAGGTATAACCCTGTTATTTTCCTAGCTTCCTGTTTTGAATAGTTTCTGAACTTCTTAGATTTTTTTTTTTTTTTAAAGAGTGTAGTAAATGACCGGGCGTGGTGGCGCACACCTGTAATCTCAGCACTCGGGAGGCTAAGGCAGGAGGATGGTTGCAAGTTCGAGGCCAGCCTGGGCTACAAAGTGAACTCAAGCCCAGCCTGAACTGCATAGCAAGACCTTGTCTCAAAAAGACAAAAAGAAAAAAAAAGAGAGTAGTAAATGAGAAACAAACAAAGAAATAGAACAGTAGCAGCATTCAAAACTTATGTATATATTCAAGTATAAGCATTTAATGTTTTATAAACTAGTCATGCTTGAGTATTATACATTAAAGTGTATATTAGGTTGCCTTTCATTTCTCAGACTAGATTTAGAAGAATACTGTACATTGATCTTTTTAAAAATATGTGTAAAGCTTTGTAAGTACATACAACATTTTCAGTGTATTTCATTTCAGGATGTAGAAAAATAAATATATAATGCTTGCTATTAAAGTGTTGTGAATTGATTAAGTCCAATTAACATATTATCTGTTCTACTCAGTTTAAGCTACCGAAACAAAGACTATAGGCTGGGTGGCTAAACCCACAGTTTTCTTACAGTTCTGGAGGTTGGGAATGCGAAGATCATTACAGTTTCTGATAAGACATCTCTTCCTAACTTTTCTCTGTGTCTCCAGCTGGTAGAGAGACTGAGTTCTGTGTGTCTGTCCTTACAAAGACATTAGTTTTGTCATATTAAAGCCCCATCCTTTTGACTTCATTTATCCTTAATCAGGTTAATATGTTCTTAGTTATCTAATTTTTACTGACCCTGTTCCTTTTGGCCATAAACATAATGAAATGCATTCATATTTGTATAGTGGATTCCAGCCTTAAAGGGGTGTTTTTTTGTATACATATAACCCAGTTATATTACTTGGTTAGATGTAGTTTATAAATTGAGCAGGAATTTTTTCCCCATTTCAAGTAGCAGAAAACAGGTTCTATAAAGCTTTGAAAAAAAAAAAACAGACCCAAAAACCGAAACATAGCACTCAATCTGCTTCTACTTCCACTACCCCCTTTTGCACCTTCCTTTCATTGATGGATGCTCAAATACATGTTATTTCCTGTTCTTTTATTGGTTACTACTGAAATACTTGGCAGAAATGAATTTTGTGAGAATTTTCAGAACTGAAGAGACCTTTCTCCTTAAAAGAGAAAGCAGCCATTTTATGGAATTGAAAAGTCATACTGGCTTTAGGCAAAAATGTAAAATACATGTGGGATGTCACACAGTTGATTTCTAGTAGCCTTGCAGCTCCTCACTCTCCTCAGGCTCTGTGTTCCACTGGGTGCTGTCACTTACCTGGAGGCCGTCTGAATGAGGGCTGGACTGGAAGCAATGCCCTTCATCAAATCTTTCGTTTTAGTCTCTCTGTTTAATTAAAAAGTCTTCATAGGCCTTTTAGCTCAAAATCTTATTTCATTGTAACATTAAAGCTGCTGGCTTTTAAGGTTGGGCTCAAAAGCAGTTGGCTCTCATTTTTTCTGGCCTAAGAGCCCCCTCAATTACTAGAATTTTCCTATACCCTTTCATTTCTGTTCTTAAATCAGTTTCTTCCCGAGTTCATCACTTTCTCCTCTCCCAGCTTTATTAAGGTTATAATCGACAAATAAGAATTATATCTATTTTACTGTACAATTTGATATATATAGTGAAATGATTTAATCTAATTATCATATCACCTCATATTTATTGTGTGTGTGTATGTGTGTGTGTAGAACATTTCAGATTTATTCTTTTAGCGGTTTTTAAGTATGCAATACATCATTATTAACTATAATCATCATGTTTTCTAATAGATCTCAAAAATTTATCCACCCTAATGGAAACTTTATAATCTTTGACCAACACCTTCAGCATTTCCCCATCCCTTATCTAGCCTTTGGCAACCTCTGTTCTACTTTGCTTCTGTGAGTTTAACTGTTTTAGATTCCATATACAAGTAAAACCATGCAGTATTTGTCTGTATGTGCCTGGCATATTTCGCTCTGCATAATGACTTTCAGGTTCCTGCATGTTGTTGCAAATAAAAGGGTTGCCTTTGTTTTAAAGGCCAAGTAATTGGCCTTTATATTTATATCATATATATATATATCCTTTATATCTATATAATTATATAGATATAATTTTTATATATAATTATATATAATTTTTATATATATAAAATATATATAATGTGTATTATATCC